AAGCATATATTTTCGCTCATAAGTCGAATGTATTTCGTTCAGGAAAAGAAGAACGTATTATTTTTGACAATATGATAATGACGTTTTTTATCATAATTGTTGTTATTAATGTTTTGAGCACTATTACTGTCATTGTTATTGTTTTAGATGTTATTGTCATCGGTATTACTGTTATCATTATTGTTATTAATGTTATCATTGTTAGTGGTATCGTCGTTGATGTTATCATTATTATTATGATTGTTGATATTGTTAATAGTAATATCGTTATTATCATTATTATGATTATAATTATTTCCATTATTATTATTATTGTTATTATTGTCATCATTAGTATTATCAATATCGTTATTATCATTATCATTATCATTACCATTATTACTAATATTGATATTATTGTATTGTCATTATTATTATTGTTATTATTATTATCGATATTGTTAATTTTATTCTTATCATTATGATTATAATTGTTGTTATTATTATTATCATTACGTTTGTTATCATTATAATCATCATCATTATTATTATAACTATTATGCTTTTGTTATACTATACTATTTTTATCATTATCATGAGATCCCTATCATTATCGTCACTATAATTATTATCATTTCTATTGTTATTATAATAATTATTATTATTTCTATAATTATTACTATTATTATCATTATCATAGTTGCTATTACTAGCGGGATCCGTGAAAATCCACGAAAAAAAGATAATCTTCTCTTCTTCCTTCACCCTCCTCCTTCTACCATTCGCCTCCTCTCTCCCTTTTCCTTTCCCTCTCCCTCTCCCTCTCCCTTTCCTTCTCCCTTTCTCTCTCCTTCTCCCTTTCCTTCTCCCTTTCCTTCTTCCTTTCCCTCTCCCTCTCCCTCTGCCTCTCCCTTTTCCTCTCCCTCTTCCTTTTCTTCTCCCTCTCCCTTTCCTTCTCCCTTTCCCTCTACCTTCCCTTTCCTTTCACTCTCCCTCTTCCTTTTCTTCTGCCTCTCCCTTTCCCTCTCCCTCTTCCTTTTCTTCTCCCTTTCCTTCTCCTTCTCCCTTTCCCTCTCCCTCTTCCTTTTCTTCTCCCTCTACCTTTCCTTTCCCTCTGCCTCTCCCTTTCCCTCTCCCTTTCCCTCTTCTCCTCCGTCTCCCTTTCCCTCTTTCCTCTCCCTTTCCCTCTTCCTTTTCTTCTCCCTCTCCCTTTCCTTTCCCACTCCATTCCACACTCCCATATCTTCCTTAAATTTACTCCTCCCTTCCCCCTTCCTTCCCTCCTCCTCCTCCTCCTCAAACTCCCTACCATCTTCGCTCTCTTCTCCCCTTCCTTCTCTCTCCCATTTTCTCTTTTTTTCTTTTATTTTCTTTTTCTTTTTTTTCTTTTTTTTTTGAGCCCCTTTCCCCCCCCCCCCTAATTTTCCCATTCCCCCATCCTCCTTTTTCTAAGTCTTTCCTTTTTTTACTTCTGTTCCTCCTCTTCCTTCATTCCCCCATTTCACTTTTCTCTTTTAAGTCCTCTCTTTTTTATCCTTCTTCCTCCTTTCTTCCCCCCTCCCCCCCACCTCTTCCTTCTTGAATAATAAAAGGTGAATAAATTATTTCAGTGCATTGTACTTGCATTGGATAATGATAATGATAATGATAATAACAATCATAACAAGGATAATGATAATGATAATGATAACAACAAGAATAATGATAATGATAATGATAATGATAAGGATAATGACTTAGAATAGGATTCTCATAGATTTGCAATAAGAGGCATATATGTGTGTGTGTGTGTGTGTGTGTGTGTGTGTGTGTGTGTGTGTGTGTGTGTGTGTGTGTGTGTGTATGTGTGTGTGTGTGTGTGTGTGTGTGTGTGTGTGTGTGTGTGTGTGTGTGTGTGTGTGTCTCTGTGTGGGTGTGTGTGTGTGTGTGTGTGTGTGTGTGTGTGTGTGTGTGTGTGTGTGTGTGTGTGTGTGTGTGTGTGTGTGTGTGTGTGTGTGTGTGTGTGTGTGTATGTGTGTGTGTGTGTGTGTGTGTGTAACTTAACGTTGAGATAGACTTAATTATCACCGACTATACCTCAAAGAGGAAAACTATAACTTACCTCAAAAAAAAGTCGCATATATGTTAAATTTTTGGTTTAAAATCACCGAGAAGAAAATAGTACACTTACTTTAAGTATCAATAATAATAAATCGCATATATGTTGAAAAATTTGGTTTAAAATCCTCGAGAAAAAAGTAGACTTACCTCAAATGTTAATAATAATAAATCGCATTATATGCATTTTTTTCTTTTTTCTTTTTTTTTTTTTTTTGATCCCCGAGAAAAAAATATATTCGAGTTACCTCAAATATTAATAACAATAAATCGTATATATGTTTTTTTGTTTTGTTTTGATTTTTGAATCCCTAAGAAAAAAAATATTAGACACCCCAAAAATGTGTAATGATAAATAATAATTGTTTGTTTGTTTGTTTAAAATCCCCGAGAAAAAAAAATAGACTGGCCTCAAATATTAATA